GGACACATGCACACAAATGTTCATTGCAGCACTGTTTACAATAGCAAAGACTTGGACCAACCGAAATGCCCATCAATAATAGACTGGACAAGGAAAATATGGCACATAGATGCCATGGAATACTATGCAGCCATAAAAAACGATGAGTTTGTGTCCTTTGTAGAGACATGGATCAAACTGGAAACCACCATTCTCGGCAAACTGACAAAAGAAGAGAAATCAAACACTGTATGTTCTCACTCATCAGTGGATGTTGAACAATGAGAACGCATGGACGCAGGGAGGGGAGCATCACACATTGATGTTTGTTGGGGGGGCATCTAGGGAAGGGACACTGGGGTTTGGGGAGTTGAGGAGGGATAACCTGGGAGAAACGACAGATATAGGTGATGGAGAGGAAGGCAGCACACCACATTGCCATGTATGTACCTATGCAACAATCCTGCATGTTCTTCCCATGTATGCCAAAACCTACAATGCAATTTTATATTAAAATATATAACAAGAGCAGCTTGGTATTGGAGGCTGATGCCTCAGCTAAGTGAAGAGGAGGTAGGTTATCTTGGCAATGAAAAGGTTGGCAGAGGAGATAAATAATGGGTAACTATAAGATTACTCAAACAATTAAATTTATCAAAGACCAATATGCAGTCAGGTTCCCCACTCCTGGAGACAAAACTTTCGTATAAGGAAAGAAAAAGAAACAAAAGGAAGCTTGTAGAATGGACTGAAATTGGAGGTACTGGTGTGACCTCAGAGAGAGAGAGAGAGCAAGAGACAGTGCGAGAGAGACAGCAAGAAAGGGATGGCGGGGGGAAGAGAGAGCGAGAGGGAGAGAAGGAGGGAGGGAGGCGTGGCTTTATTGCACTCTGCTTCACTATGCCATTAAAAAAATACTGCTGATAAGACTTGTTGGCAACCCTGCATTCAGCAAGTCTATCAGCAGTATTTTTTCAATAGCATGTGGTCATTTTGTGTCACATTTTGGCAATTCTCACAATATTTTTTCATTGCAATCATGTTTTTCATTATTATCAGATCATAATTTTTCATATGATCCTATCATAAAGAAGAAAGCTTTAGGTGTCTGGATAGATCAAAATCAGCCATGCCTTTCACTAACAAAGACTAAACCAGAGTGAAGCTCTAACTTTCTCTAATTCTATAAAGGCTGAGAGAAAAGGAAGCTGTAGAAGAAAAGCTTAAAAGTAGCAGAGGTTAGTTCACAGGGTTTAAGGGAAGAAGTGATCTCTAAAACATAAAAGTACAAGTTGAAGATAAAAGTGATGATGAAGAACCTACAGCAAGTTACCTAGAATATCGACCTAAGATAACTGACAATGGTGTCTACAGTAAATGGATCTTCAGTATAAATGAAACGGGCTTTTAATAGAAGAGGACTCCATGTAGACTTTTGTTAACTGTAGAGGAGAGGTTAATGTCTGGCTTCTAGGCTTACAAAAGAGACTGACTCTCGTTATGAGCTAAGGTGAATTTAATTTGAAGCCAATATTTATTTACCATTCCTGAAAATCCTAGGGTCTTTAACAATTATGCTAAATCTATTTCGTCTGTATACAAGTCTAGATGACAGTCCATCTGTTTACAGGACAGTCTATGTCTGTTTACTGCTGAGACCTACCGCACAGAAAAAAAGATTTCTTTCAAAGTATTACTGCTAATTGATAAGGCATCTGGCCACCCAAGAACTCTAATGAACATGTACAGGGAAATGAATGTTTTCACTGCGTGCTGACACAGGATGCATTATGCGGCCTATGGAGTAATTGTGACTCTCATCACTTAAGAATAGCTGGGAGTGGTGGCTCACAACTGTAATCACAGAATTTTGGGAAGTCAAGGAGGGCAGATCACTTGAGGCCAGGAGTTTGGACTCAGCCTGGTCAAAACAGTGAAACCACATTCCTACTAATGATACTATAAATTAGCTGCATACGGTGGCACATACTTGTAACCCCAGCTGAGACAGAAGAGTCACTTGAACCTGAAAGGTGGAGGTTGCAGTGAGCCAAGAGGGTACCACTGAATTCCAGCCTGGGTGAGAGAGAGGCTATCTCCAAAAAAAAAAGAAGAAGAAGAAGAAAGAATTACATTTTCTATGGATATACCTGCCACAGATAGGTTCCTCTGTTGAATCTGGGCAAAGTAAGTTGAAAGCCTTTTGAAAAGGACTTTCCTTTCTAGAAGCCATTAACAACATTCATGATTCATGGGAAGAAGTCAATATAACATTACCAGAAATTTGGAAGAAGTTGGATGACTTTGAGGGGTTTAAGACATCAGCGGGGGAAGGAACTACAGATACAGTGGAAATAGCAAGAGGACTAGAATTAGAAGTGAAGCTTGAAGATGTGACTGAATTGCTGCAATCTCATGATAAAACTTTAACAGATATGAACTTGCTTCATATGGCACAGCAAAAAAAGCAGTTTCTTGAGATGAAATCTACTCCTGGGAAAAAATGCCATGAATACTGTTTAAAAGACAATAAAGGATATAGGATATTGCAATATATTAGCTTAGTTGATAAAGCAGAAGCAGAGTTTGTGAGGACTGACTCAAGTTTTTTTTTTTTTTTTTGAGACGGAGTTTCACTCTTG